CTCTTTTCATTTTCTTGCTCTTTCTGTGAGATGCTTTCTACCTTGTCCTCCAACTCACTAATCCTATCCTCAGCTTCATCTATCCTACTTTGGAAACTTTCTACTGTGTACTTCAATTCGGAAATTGTGTTCTTCATTTCCTCTTGTCTCTTGCTGATAATTTCCATTTCCTTTTTGATGTTGCTGTAGTTTGCAGAGAGATTATTATAGTTCCCCTGTAGTTCCTGGTTGTTCACTGTGAGCTCTTTGAACTTCATAATAACCAGTGCTTTGAATTCAATGTCTGATAGTTGATCAGCCTCTATTTCATCTAACATTCTTTCTGAAGTTTCTGCTTTTTCTTTCATTTGGGGATTGTTTCTTTGTCTTCCCATTGTTTGAGACTCTTCTTGTTAGTCTCTGCTTCTAAAATTGATCTGTTCTAAAACCCTGGTTTTATGGTGTAAACTTCTGTGGTATGATCCTTGTGCAGACTCCTTGAAGTTTCTTGATGTTCTTCGTCTCCACCTACACTCACGCTGGTCCTCGCGCTGGTCCCTGCGTTGGTCGCCTACCACTGCTGAATGTCCCGGCTCTAGTAGCCGCCTCCTCAAGCACCCAGACCCATTACTATGGCAGTGGCACAGAGGCTGGGAATGTCCCGCTCCAGTATCTGGCTCTCTCTGCCACCCAGGGCTGTCACAGGGGTTTGGAGTGTCCAGGTTTCCGTACCTGACTCCCTGGCGTCTAGTCTTGTCTCTATGGCAGTGGCACAGAGGCTTAGAATGTCCCAACTCCTGTACCTGATTCCCCAGTGTCCAGTCCCGTCAGTATGGCAGCAGCACAGGGGTTGAGAGCGTCCCAGTTCCCGTAGAGGGCTGCTCTGCCACTCAGGGCTGTCCCAGGGGTTTGGAGAGTCCCAGCTTCCATACCTGACTCCCTGGTGTCCAGTCCCATTGCTATGGCAGCGGCACAGGATCTGAGAACTTCCCGGCTCCCGTAGCTGGCTCCTCTGCTGAGTCACAGGGGTTTGGAGAGTCCTGGCTTCCATACCTGACTCCCTGGCGTCCAGTCCTGTCGCTATGGCAGTGGCACAGGATCTGTGAACGTCCAGGCTCCCGTAGCTGGCTCCTCAGGGCCCAGGCCTGTCTCTATGGTGGCGTCACAGGGGCCTTTGGTGTCCCAGCTCCTGCAACTGACCCTTCCGTTGCCCAGGGTGGTAGCTATGGCATCGGCACAAGGGCCGAGAATGTCCCCGCTCTGGTTCCTGACTCCTCTGTCTCCCAGGACCGTCACAGGTGCTTGGAGTGTTCGGCTTCCGTACCTGACTCCCTGGCTCCCAGGCCTGTTGCTCTGGTGGCAGCACAGGGGCCACGTGAGACCCAGCTCCAGTAGCTGACTCTGCCACCGTCTGGTGTTTCAGCGTCGGTCACAATCTCTGGTCTTTTAATTTCATAAATGCTGGGTAACCGATGGTTTATTGTGCTGTTTCTCTATAAATCTGCCAGGATTTTCACCCATGAGTACAGGAGCTAGTATCAGCTCCATCTTACTCCGTCGCCATCTTCCCAGCATCCTTCTATTTATATTTTATTTTAAGTTTATTTTTATTGTTTTTCACTTCCACTACCATTTATCCCCCTTATACCTCCCCCTCCAAAATCCCTCCTCCCACAATCACCACACTGTTGTCCCTGTCCCTGAGTTCTTTTTTTTTTTTTTTTTTTTTTTGCTCAATTCCTCCATCCCATAACCCCTAACCTCACCCTGAGGTGCCTGGTTGATTTCTTTAAAGAAAATGATTTTAGAAAGAGAATTACATCCTTGCAAGCCTCTCTCTCTTCACTGTTGTTTTTCATGCTTTTAACTGCCCCACCCTCAGAGTGCTACCATCACTACTGTTTAAATGTCTCAGACAAACAGGCACTGCTAATGTTACCATGTACATGTTTTTTAATCTATTTGACACCATTCCAAATTGATAGCATTTCAAACTGATACCCATTACACTGAGGGCAGAAAGTTATAGTTGATAGAGCAGTCTCACAATTAAAATGCCTATATAGTCACTACTGGCTTGGAAAGCCTGAATGATATTGACATGTGTCCAGATTTTCCCAGAATATTTTTGAGGTTTGCTTGTTGTCCCAGCATAATTAATAACAGCAACTCCTTTTGTCCTCAGGAATACTCTGGTTTGGATGATGGATGATATGATTACCCAATGAGACCAAGGTAAGTCTAAAAATGTTTGGTTTTCATGTCCTATATTTTCATTTTGTCTTTGTTATTGGTAACTTTGGTCATCTGTGTGGTAAGGCAGAGTCAATTTTGTCATAATTCTTGCTGCACATTGATTATACAGTGAAAAGCAAAACACACATGGCCCTAACTCATGGAGTTTACAGCTTAGTAGAGCAAAAGGACATTACTTAATTACACACCATAAATGTCACAACTCCTCAGGAGAGGTACAAGATGCTCTGATCGCTCTGTACCTGAAGAGGTAGGGGAGACTTGCAGGCATGAGAAATTCACCTGAATTGTTTTTGTGGCATCCAGAAGGATGCCACTCATTTAACACAGTGTTCAAAATGTCATTGTGTTTGCCTTCCACTCATTTGCCATGTTGAGGAGACATTTCAGTTTATAAAGAGGCCTTTCTGAAGACAGGCACAAAGTAATAACTGTGGGTATGTGAAGGTCAAAGAACAGAAAATTAATCCTTAGTTTCTCATTATAGTGACAAAATTATGATGGGAGAAATAAACAGGAAGAGAAGATAAGAACAATGATATTTACGATTAGTAAACTCCTTAAGAATACCAATCACATCCAGTTTTCTTTCTGTTTGATTTGGGTTTTTTCCTCTGGAATTCCTTTAGGAACACAGTTCTAAGCATACTGCGGAATTGCTCAGGGCATCTTGACTTGTGACGACAGGGAAAGTGAACCCCGGAGAAAAAAGACACAGGACCCAGATTCAAATAGAGAAAGGAGAAGGTTAGAGGCTTGGTTTCCCATAGTTCCTGTACCCTTTCTGAGATCTGTAACATCAGCAACCAAAACAGACTGTGGGGTGGTGGTCTGGGGTAGGATGAGTGAGCATGGAGGCTCTGGGCAGGACTCCACAGGACAGAAACCTGAAACAGTCTCGGAAAGCACTGGGGGAGACCAGGAGCCAGCATGGGAGCTGGGCTGAGAGAGAGATCTTTGGTGAACAGAACTCCAGTTATTGATAAAACAACAGGTGAGTAAATGTACATCTGTGAGCCTACACTATGATTTGCTGGTCTGCTTTCCATTTATCCGTTTTTCCGAAGAGCACATTCTAATACCAATAGGCTCTTCTAAAGACAGGAAATTAAATAATAACTGTGTAAGTGTATAGAGCCAAAGCCAAAAAAAATTGATCCACGGTGCCTGCACAGAAAACCTATCAGTGATTATGTTACCTCTTCATCCACAGGCTCTGCACTAATGCAGGTAAATTTCACATAAATGTTAACTCCTGTTGGGCAAAATTTTTACCTAGCCAAATTTTTACTAAATGAGACATAACTGTATTGATACTTAAAAACTCAACAAATTCTTCAACGATTAGAGATGACAGTGGCAGTCATATGTGGTGATTTTTTCATTTAATGATGCATAATTAATTAACGCATACATTTCATGTGTGCCATTAATGCAAGTGGGGCTGCAGACAGAGCTCCAACTCTAGGACCAGGAAGAACTGAGTTTAAGTCCCGGCAGTGCCATTTGCTGGAGGTTTGTCTTTGGCAAAGCTTTGAGCCACAGTGTTCTCCTCTGCATAATGGGGATGCTGTCATGATGTGAGGAATCCTCCTTTGATTTTGAGAATTTCATAAGAGAACATACGAAAGCACTTAGCAGTGCCCCGCATGTCATCAGGAAACAGTCACTGATTTGATGGAGATTAGGTTCAAACTTCTTATCAGGAACCTGGATAACTTTAGGTCCGCCAATTGTGGTTTTCTCACATTTAGTATTGATCTAACTATATGTGTTCTAAACACATCAGGAAAGATCAAGTGAGATGTACAGGAAATCATTAAAATTGCCAATTGCTTTATAAATGTAAAGTATTATTATCTTTTCCCCCCTATTTGGGTTTATGGCTGCTTTGTTACAGGTGCCCCTTAAACAGCATGGGTTTGAACTGCACAGGTCCACTTCCACATGGACTTTTTCCAACAAATACTCAGTCAGCCATTCTTACATCCACAATCTGGCACCTGTGGATTCAACCAACCATAGAGCAAATACAGTATTTTCTGTCTACAGTCAGGAATTCTCAGATATAGACAGCAGACTGTATGTATTGTGCTGCCCCATTTTATTTAAGGGACCTGAGCATCTGTAAATTTGGTACCCATGGTGGGTCTGAGGGGCTGGGCTAGAAACAATACTAACCCCCTCATGCCAGAAACTGAGGATACCGAAGGATGACTGTTAAGTTTGGGGAGAGTCAAAGTTATATGCAAGTTTACAATTTAGTAGGGGTTTGGAACCCCCTCCATTGTTCAAGGCTCAACTGTATTTGTTTATCTTTATTCAACACAAATGTCCTCAGTGAATGAGACAGGTCCCCACTGCTGACATCTCTGCAACACACACAGTAGAGACCCAACACAGCCTGGAGGACAGGCATATGTTAGGGCTCTAATTTTCTTCCCAGAGAATTGTCTTCCTTCCCTTGAATTTCCTCCATTTATATTTCAATTCATGCACTCAATATTTGTTAAGTTCCTGTATGTCACCTCTCTCCTCTTTGTCTAAGCTTAGTTATAAGATAGCACTAATATTCATTGATTCTGGTCTTGGACACAATGTGCTTAGCTGTTTTGTTTTTTTACTCTGTGAAATAAGGACCAAAACCTACCTCAAGGAGCTGCTGTAAGAATTAGGTGAGGGTTAGATGTCATGTTCAACAGTACCTTGTGAATTCTCTCCTGTGCACTCAGCCCAAGCCTATCTATTCCCTTGACTTGACTGACCTGTGAATGATGTGCTGGCTCTGCAGGTAGTCCAGGGCCATGGCCAGCTCACAGATGAAGATCTTCACAGTGTCTTCCTGGAAACGTACATTCTGCTGCAGGTGATAACGTAGGTCTCCACCCAGCAGGAGGTCCACTACCATGAACATGTCTTCCTCATCTTGGAAGGAGTACCTGGAATAGAATTAGAAATGAAAATGTATATAATATAGCTGCCCACTGAAGAGTCCCAGAGGCAAACAACCCCCTACAGATCACAGAAGAGTTCTGTCCAGGTAAGAGGCCAGGCTTTGGGAGTAGATGGTCTACCACTCACTCTATTACCCTAGGCCCTTAGTTTCCACATGTATAAGATCAGACTAATAAGAATATCTAGCATATTTTATCATAGTAAAGAATAAAGTATAACATCTAAGTCATACCCAGCATATAGTATGTACTCATTAACAGTTAGCCAACAAAGCTATTAAGCCAAAGCAATAAAGAAAACCCATTTATTCACTTGCCATTAATAAGCATATCTCAACCACACTGTTGCAGGAGGTCCATAAAATGTGGATTATGAGGCCTCCTTGAAGCATTCTCATGCCCATTTTCCAGGCTAACAACTTCATTGCCCAGCAACTTTATGAGAAATCATGTACCCACAGTAATGATAAGAAAAAGATATAAAGGGGGCAATAAAGAAGAAAGTGTACAGTACAAGGAAGTAATTCACCCAGTCTTTGGGATGGGGAGGTAAGGGAAAGCTTCTCAGCAGAGGTAAAACCTGAGCTAAATCCTAAAGGACAGTAACAATAATCATAACTAAAAAATAAAGCTAATGCCACTTCTACCAAGTGCCTTCCCTGGGGCAGGCTCAGAAGTATTCAACATTGTTACCCCATTGATCCCACAAGGCTGCTCTCATGCTCCCATGTTACAAATGCAGAAATCAAGGCTAACTGAAGGTTAAGTAACTTGTCCAAGGTCAAGCACCCAATAGATGATTGAGCTAAAGTGTTCTCCAGGTCCAAAAGTCAGATTTGAAAGAGAAAAGTTGCACATATTGAGCATAGACATGGGAAATAAAAGAGTGTGAGTGAGGAAAGAAAACAGTTTGGGTTTTCTGGAATAACAGGTATGGTGGGGGAGCTTGAGCCTAGAGAAGGAGGGCAGAGGGCAGGTCCCAGGAAAGGAGCTCATTCAGAGTCTGCAGGTGTCCGGGAGAAACCAAAGGGCTTTATGCAGGATGTATAATCAGACATGGGCTTCATACTTAAAGGAGCACAGTCAGGGAGAAGGTATCAGAAGAGGAAATGAGCCACAGGGGAGCAAATCTGGCCTCTGCTGTTTGCAAAGAACCTCCTGTAAAAATGCATTCTTGCTGCTTTGATTCATTCTGTTTCTCTCAAAGCAAAGACACGAGTACTCATCACAATAGAGGTCTCAGTAACAACACTGTTTTGACATGTTTCTTTTGACATTATATTACACTTTCAAGTTTTTCTTGAAGTAGGAATTTAGTGCTTGCCAGCAGAGTCCAGAGATACAAACCAATTCCTAGGGACAGATTCTTTGCTTGGGAAACAAATGTAGAATATCTACAATGGGAGAACTGTACTTAGTACTTTTCTTCTTTATAATGATCATCATGCTGAAAGTTAATAAGGAAGGGACTTCAGTGAAAACAAATGAAAAAGTTTCAAGAGAAGTTCTATGAAGTGTTAATGTGAAATGGTAACATTCTAATGAGAAATAACTGTCCTGATGTTTACTTGTTCAGTAGATAAAATCATGATTCCTACGGAAGACTGTCACACAGAAGATGTCAGAAAGTAAGCTCTTGAAAGCAGTTTAGACAGAAATGTAAAAATATGAGAAACACATCTTTGGCACTGCCTTTTGGGGAATGGTATTCTTCACCTCAATGCAATGACTGACTGGTCATCTCTACCTTTGGTTTAATGGGCACCAGGGAAGGTTTCTGGGCTGTGTGGTTCACAATCTTTCTGGCTTTACCACTAAACATTATATTGATTGTGTTTTACAGTTCTTTCAGTAAGCAACAAGGTGCTAATTAATACATAATCATGTGTGGGACCCGTTGTACCTTAGGGTCTACTTGACTGATATAATAGAAACTGAGATTGCTCATGGGATGTGTGAGCAGTGTTTGGGGATGGCCAGTGAATGGGTTAAGGATGGTGAGGTGGATATGGACTAGGTACCAAAAGAAGGAAGAAAAGAGTGCCAACTATGAACATATCTAGATGTCTCCTACATAGGAGACAGCCTATGCAGATGGAGTTGGGATTCAGAGCAGCTGTGGCTACCTTCAGCTCCCCACAGGAGGCAGGTGGAAGGCAGAAATCGGGTGACAAACCAGAAGACTCTGTCTCATGATGCCATTTAACTCAAAGGGGGGACAATGGTTTTACCAAACTCAATGAACAAACTTTTTATTGGGACTTCAGTTAAGCTATTTTTACTCAAAGAAAGACTAAAAAAGATGCCCACTGTATCAAGATAAAAACAAGGTTCAATCATGCTGGGAATTAAGAATTAAAGGAAAAAGAAGCCAAGGCAAGAGGCAACATGCTTCCCTTGCTCAGTGTGAATATAAATTTAATCATGCTTTGGCCATTAAAATCATCTTTCTCTTTCAGCACATCAGATCTGAAACTCTCAGAGTGAAGGAAGATAAGTATTTTATTTTCCATAACTGTCCCCAGTAAAATATGTGGGTCTAACACAGTTTGGTGATAACTAGAATATGCAAGTTCATATCATACTTTGATGTTTTTTAAAGAAAAGAGTAAGAGGGTTTTTTGTTGTTTTTTTTGTATCTGTACCACTCATGACATAGACTCACTGTTGTGTTTCTATAACTTTTTTTTTCGGTATGCTATATGGTGGCCTATTTAATTCTTAGTTGCCAGCTCCAAAATGAACAACTCTGGTCCTGATACATGTGAAAGGCATTGCAAAGTATACTCAGCAAGACAAAGGAAGTAACAAAAGCCCACCCCCTACCACACCCTCCTCTCCCATGTCTGACCCAGACCACTGCAATAGGCTATTCTTAGCTCCATCCAATACACTCTGCGCACCACAGTTACACATTTAAATGTGAGTCTCATGATATTCAGCTTTGTAAAACACTTCCATCTTCTTCCATGCTCTGCAGGACCCTGTATGGTCTGGCCCTTTTTACTTTTCCAGACTTACTTTTAAGGTATTTTCCTTTCATTTATCAATTACTTGTTCACACCTTCCTCTAGCCTTAGAAGTTTGTAATGTGGTGTGACCCAATGCTGTGTACCACCTAGCTATTTTCTACCAATCTTTCAGTCTCTGCCCAAGGGTCACTTCCCACAGAGACATTTCTCACCATCCACATTAAATCCTGGCTCACGGACGATGCCATAGTCTTGCTCACAGAACTTATTGTAATTTAATTTTTTTTTCTTTTTTTATTGTTCAAATACAGTTGTCTCCATTTCCCACCCCAAACATCCTCAACAAAATATTGGCAAACTGCATCCAGCAATACATGAAAAAGATCATACACTATGACCAAGCAGGATTCATCCCCAGGATGTAAAAGATGGTACAATATTTGCAAAGCAATAAATGCAATAAATACATAACAGAAACAAAAGGAAAGACAAAAATCATATGATCATATCAAATAGGTGCAGGAAAATCATTTGATAAGGTACAGCACACATTTATCATAAAAATGCTTAGCAAAGTGGGAATAGAGGGAGCATACTACATCATAATAAAGGCCATATACAAGAAACCTATGGCCAATATCACACTCAATGGGCAAAAACTAAAAGCTTTCCCACTAAGATCAGGAGCAAGACAATGATGTCCACTTCACCACTTCTATTCAACATAACTTATCTGTTTGCTTTTGAATTAACTGCCTTCCTTCCCACCATGATATGAGAATGCATGCCTGCTTTTACTCATCCTTGAGTCCTCAGTACCTGTACAAGGTCTGAAGTATATACTCTACAAGTAGTAGTAGAAAAAAAATGAACTAAAGGAAATGAGAAAAGCAAGATTAACACACAAGTTTTAAAATGTTTATAAAAATATGTGTACTGATTTTAGAGAGAGCAACATTGATGTGAGATAGAAACATTGTGGGTTGACTCCCATATACACCCCCACCAAGGACTGAACCCACAAATTAGGCAAGTACCCTGACCGGCAATCAAACCCCCAACCTTTTGGTTCATAGGTCAGTGCTCCAGCCAACTGAGCTATAGACACAAGTTTTGGGTGGGTCTGTGATACAAAACATTCCCTAGCTTTTATTTTAAAAATTAGCATGTTTACCCAATTAAGTTCAAAGAAATCACATGCTTGAAGCTGTCTCATGGAAAGCATCTTGAGATTAACCTGAATCTGAATATTGAAAGAGACTGATAGTTTTTTGATAGTTTTTCAAACTGTGAATCATCACCCATTAATGGGTTGTGAAATCAGTTTGGCTGTTCGTTGAAGAAATAAAATAGATTGAATAACATAGAATAAATGTTATTAACATGTAAGGCTAAACATTGTTTATGAAACTTTGCTCTTGTGAATACAATGTGTGTCTCTGTGAGTATATCTACAGGGTTGTGGTGGAAAATATCTTACATCCTATGGGTTGCAGTAAAAAAAATCCTCATGACCCAAGGGAAGCTGCTACCTATTGCAGAACTGTTGTGCCAAATTAAAACTTAGACTCTGCCTAAACAAGGGTTGGTTCTTATATCTCCCTCTAGCAAAGCAAGGAAAACACATGACTGATATTAGTTATTGCTTCTCAAAATTACTGGATATTGGAGAAGAAGTAACTGATTGATTTCAAAGATAGAATCAGTTTAAAAACACACTGAAGGAAAACACAAATGGAAAATGCACATACTTCAGGCAGGCCTGCGATACATATCACATGTGAATTTAGAGCAAGCCCTGCAATCCATGAGAAAATGCCAAACACCTAGAATAGCCAAAATAATTTTAAAGAAGAAAAAATTGGAAGACTTTCACTTCCCAATTTCTAATCTCTTATACTGTTTGATAACTGTCTTGAACAAATAGTGAACATTCTACTGCTCATGGAGCACTGTTCAGCACTAAGAAGGAAGAAACTACTAACACATACCACAACATTGACGAACCCCATT